GGAAGGTGGAAATAAGTCCATAATTTGAGTTCAATTGCTTGTAAAATGGCTACTTCAATAGCAGTAGAAGCCCAATATGTATGTAAATCCTTCTTTCTTTAAATAAGTCAGTTACTGTTGAATTCATTCCTACATCTACATACTCTACTTGTGAAATAGTTCATATTGCAATTAAATTCATACTCAAAATTTAGAGAATGGACTAGGTGTGGTGGCTCATGCCTGTAATCCCAGCCCTTTGGGAGGCCGAGTCAGGAGGATCACTTGAGGTCAGGAGTTTCAGATCAACCTGGGCAACATGAGAAAACCCTGTTCCTACTAAAAATACAAAAATTAGCCAGGTGTGGTGGCAGACGCCTGTAATCCCAGATACTCAGGAGGCTGAGGCAGGAGAATTGCTTGAACCTGGGAGGCAGAGGTTGCAGTGAGCCAATTCCAAAGGTGTGTATTTTATTTTCAAACTTGACCTGTTTGAATCATCCATTCAACTCCATGTGAACTAACTGGCAAAACTAAGGTTTCTAGGGTGGACAGTAGGGTCCCTGAACAAAGTCCTTTTCATTCATTTGCTTGGAAGGATACCTAGGCTGATAGCCAACCCTTACCTTGCTCACCTGAGAACAAAGCCTATCATCCCACAGCCCTGCTTGCTTAGTCCTTGCAGAATCTCAGCCTGAAGAGTTTACGTTACAGCAAAAGAAAATCAAAAGAAAATCACCTTAGCTACTCAGGCTCTCCTTCTTACACATGAGTAGATAATTTAGGACTGCCAGGCATTGGAAGAGAACCAGCAACAAGAGTCCAAGGTAAATCATCGGAAACACTGAAATAATTAGGAAAACAAAGCAATTCTAATTAAAATACTCAAAGAAATGATATTCATAACCAAGGATAAGGTATTATTAAAAAGGAGCAATCAGAAAAGAGAAGAAGCCATTATAAATTATTAGTCATTGACATAAAAAATACACTAGAAGAACAGAAATGTCAAGGAAATTTCTCAGACTTTAGAATAAAAAGATATGAAGGTAAGGGGTGAGATATAAGTGAAGAGACAATTTCATGTTTTGTGTGTTTCACCACAATATTAAAAACTAAGAGATAAGACCAATTCAGCATTAGTCTAACATTAGACACATCAAATTTCAAGAAAGGACAGAGATAAGAAGACAAAATTATCAAAGAAATCATAAAAATATATAAAGCCTCTTGTTCATAAATTTTCTGATTGAAAGGCCCTACTAAATGCCCAGTTTACAAATTTAAAAATACCTAGTGCTGCACACATTACTATGAAATTTTAGAACACTAAACATACAGAGAATACCTCAAAATCTTTCAGAAAGTAAAACCAAGTCAGACAGAAAAGAGCAAGCCAGACTGGCATCTGATTTCTCATTAGTAACAGCGGGGGCTTAAAAAGGGTAATTACACTTTCAGAAGTCTAAGGAAAACTAGCATTCCATCTCCTGTGGTGGGATTATATCTTGAAATACTAATCTAGATGTATCCTGTGTGTTTCTTTCCGTCTTTACTCACTTGCATCCCTAGGGTCTTTTTTATCTTCCATTCAGTTCTATTTAGACAGGAATAAGTCACCCACCTTGGAAGCAGTAACAGACTATAAAATTAAAACAGTGAAGTATTTAGCCAAAGGATATGTCCGCATACTTACAGAGATAGTTTTTCCACTCTAAAGACTACATACATAAGCTGGGCACAGTGCCTCATGCCTATAATCTCGGCACTTTGGGAAGCTGAGGGAGCAGATCACTTGAGGTCAGGAGTTTTAGAACAGCCTGACCAATATCAGGAAATCCTGTCTCTACTAAAAATACAAAAATTAGCCAGGTGTGGTGGCAAGTGCCCATAATCCCAGCTATTCAGGAGGCTGAGGCAGGAGAATCACTTGAACCTGGGAGGTGGTTCAAGCCATGATGTTTTCTTTATTCCTGCTTCCAAGTGGTCTCTTTGCCTTTTTCTTCCCTTCTGCAATCCAAATTTTATCTAGCCTTTTTTTTTTTTTTTTTTTCTGAGACAGTCTCACTCTGTCACCCAGGCTGGTGTGTAGCAGCATGATCTTGGCTCGCTTTAGTCTCTACGTCCAGGGTTCAAGCAGTTCTCATGCCTCTGCCTCCCAAGGAGCTGGGATTACAGGGTGCACCACCATGCCCGGCTAATTTTTTGTATTTTTAGTAGAAACAGGGTTTCACCATGTTAGCCAGGCTGGTCTCAAACTCCTGGCCTCAAGTGATCTGCCTGCCTCAGCCTCCCAAAGTGCTGAGATTAAAGCATGAGCAAACCCACCTGGCCTACAAGGGAGATCTTGATGGAAAACATGAAATAATCAAATGGATGATATGATAGAGAGGATTTGTGAAAGCCAGGGCTTTAAGAAGAAAGCAGAGAGGAGTACATTTAGAAACTTGAAAATACAACTCTACAGAAAAAAGATATCTAAATATGTAGCAGCTCAAATGCATAATTGTTTCAAGAAATTTTTTAATTATGAGAAAAGAAAATTCATTTGACCTTGAGGAAAAGAAACTGTCCTACTGATCCTGAGTGTATCATTTGGAGCAGTAAAGAAGTGACAGTGTTTCTAGCATATAAGTTGAGCTAGCATTTGCACAGGCCTAATAACACAAAAGCTGCTTTTTTGGCTTGCAAGGAAGACTACACTGTAGTAGCAGAGCAGAATACAAATTGATCATCTCGATCACGCAAAAAGGTAATTGACACAAAACAAAGGGCCATGGAAGGAAAAAAATTTTTTCTGGAAAAAAGAATGGGGGCATCAACATCTTTTTATTAAACTGAGACTCAATAGATAAGGCTGAGAGTTGATGGCACAAGAAACAGAGGCATAAATAAATTATTCACCGTCACAAAGCTAGTCAGTGGAAAAGCTGAAAGAAAAAAGTAACACAAGAGAGACACCCAGCATTGAAAAGAGTGAAGGAGTACATCAAATATGAGACCACTTAAAACAGAAATATTTTTTGAATATTGACTTAGGCAGCTCAGGCTGCTGTAACCAGCTACCGTAGACTGGGTGCTTTAAACAACAAACAGTTATCTCTCAACAGCTTTGGAAGCTGGGAAGTCCAAGATCAAGGTGCCCGTAGATCTCACATCTGGTAACATCCTTCTTCTGGATTTGAAGAGGACCATCTTCTCATGGTACCCTGTCATGGTGCAGGGGGAGAGAGGGGAAGCAAGCTCTCTCATGTCTCTTGTTGTAGACAAAGAGCTCCACCCTCACAACCTAATCACCTCCCAAAGGCCCCATCTCCAAACACCATCCCACTGGGGATTAGGGTTTCAACATATGAATTTTGGAAGAATACAAATATCTGGACCACAGCATTGACTATGGAAAATAGATTTGAGGCTAGACATCGGTGGAAAGACTATTATTTTTAATTAAAAGCTCCTCTATGTTTTTTTATTTGTTTTCTTGAATATATACTTTATTGACTAAAAAATTGTAAGATGTATTTCAGGAATCATCTCTTCTGTGAAACCTTCTCTGGCCTTCCCTCCCCCGCTCCTACCAGCAGAGCAGGGCACTTTTTTTTTTTTTTAATACAGAATCTTGCTCTGTCACCCAGACTTGAATGCAGTGGAGCAATCTTGGCTTACTGCCACCTCCACCTCCTGGGTTCAGGTGATTCTCCCGCCTTAGCCTCCTGAGTAGCTGAGATTACAGACGTCCCCCAAATGCACCCGGCTCATGCCTGTAATCCCAGCACTTTGAGAGGCCAAGGCGGGTGGATCACAAGATCAGGAGTTCAAAACCAGCCTGGCCAACACGGTGAAATCCCATCTCTACTAAAAAGGCAAAAAATTATCCAGGCATGGTGGCACAGCCTGTAATCCCAGCTACTCAGGAGGCTGAGGCAGGAGAATCACTTGAACCCAGGAGGCAGAGGTTGCAGTGAGCAGAGATCACACCATTGCACTCTAGCACAGGCGACAGAGCAAGACTCCATCTCAAAAAAGAAAAAAAAAAAGAAGAGGAAGAGACATCAGACCTGTCTCTCCATCATATGAGGACACAGTGAGATGGTGAGTGTCTGCAAGCCAGAAAGAGAGACCTCACCAGAAACTGCAAATGCTGGCAGCATGATCTCAGACTTCTCAAAAGTGTGAGAAAATTAATTTCTACTGTTTAAGAAATACCCAGTCTATGATATTTTGTTATGGCAGCCTGACCCAACTTATGCACCAGGTTCTATTGCTATGATTTAATAAATCTATCTCCCCTTCTAGATTCTAGACTCCTGAGAGCAAAGACCCATATTAATATTAACAGAACTGCCATACAGTGAGGGCCTGCTATGTGTCAGACACTGCACTAGTCACTCACAACTATCTTGTTTAATCCTTACAACTTCTTAATGTCAGAACTATTATCTTCACTTTACAGGTAAGAAACTAAGGCCATGGAAGGAGGAGGAAAGCTAGAAGAAAAAGAATGGGGTCATCAACCTCTTTTTATAAAACTGAGATTGAACAGGTAATGTTGAAAGCTGATGGCACAAGAAACAGAGGCGTAAATAGAAGAAATTATGTGCTTTGTCTAAATTCATTAAAATCCATCTACACGGGCCGGGCATGGTGGCTCAAGCCTGTAATCCCAGCACTTTGGGAGGCCGAGGTGGGCAGATCACGACGTCAAGAGATCGAGATCATCCTGGCCAACATGATGAAACCCTGTCTCTACTAAAAATACAAAAATTAGCTGGACATGGTGGTGTGCGCCTGTAGTCCCAGCTACTTGGGAGGCTGAGTCAGAAGAATCGCTTGAACCCGGGAAGTGGAGGTTGCAGTGAGCCAAGATTGCACCACTGCACTCCAGCCTGGCGCCTGGCAACAGAGTGAGACCCTGTCTCAAAAAAAAAAAAAAAAAAAAAAAAAATCCATCTGCTCCTGGCCCCACACCAGCATACTGCCCTCCTTATCATCTATATTTTCTTGCCTCCTAGCAGTTCACACACAGCTGGTTTTCAGAATTTGTTTGTTAATTTTCTGAATAAATGGAATCCCTATCTCAGCAAGGGAAAAGGATGCTGTTTCTCTTTACAGTAATGAAATTCCTGAACTAACATTTTTTAACACTCTTCACCTCCCACAATAATAAGTTTTTAAATCCCTCTTTAAAAACTAGGTCCAGCTACATAATTTGTGGAGCTCAGTGCAAAATGAAATTGAAGGACTTACTGTTCAAAAATTGTGAAGAATTTCAAGATGGCAGCAACAGAGCGTTAAACCAAGCCTAGGGCCCTCAAAGGCATAGGCTGTGTGCCCAAGAAGCCAGCCCTCCCCACCACAACATTTTCCTCCATGTCTTTTGAGGTCAAGTCTCAGTTTCTAATCATTCCATATGACACTGTTATTTCAAGTGGGATGAGAGACAGTGTGGCCGGGTGCATCACACACTCAGTTTTCCTTTGTTTCTCTGTTTCCTAGAAATGATTCATTAGCCAGATCAAGAACCAGCACTTGAGAGACAATTGTCGACACACACAGTTGCGTTCCTAAACAACAAAAAGCATTCGTGGAATGTGCAAAGGAGGCTAAGTGCCTATGATCCAAGTTTTGCTCCAGAAAGGGAAAACACATAAAACTCCACAAAAATGTATCACAAAATGAGGAGATATCGTGATCATAGGAGATTAAAACACTTGGCCCATTGCCTTACAATCAAAATAATCTTTGAATACATTCAGGAGTTAGCACCAACATTGCCAACCCTAGTAGGATTGTTCCATAAAGAATGATGCATTCTTAGCTAGTGGCTGTGGAGCTTTAAACCAAGAATTGCAAACCAAGTGCCCTTAGGAGCCAGACAGGTCCTGTGCGTGAGTGAAGTTGGCCACATGGGGACTTGGGCAACTGGAGAGCACACCTGGCTCTCCAGGTGCAGCTCTTCCCCTAGTCCAGTGCATCTGATTATTTTTTATTTTTTATTTATTTTTTGAGTAGGAGTCTAGCTCTGTCACCCAGGCTGGAGTGCAATTCGTGATCTCAGCTCACTGCAACCTTTGCTTCCCAGGTTCAAGCAATTCTCCTCCCTCAGCCTCCCGAGTAGCTGGGATTACAGGTACCCACCAGCGCACCTGGCTAATTTTTGTATTTTCAATTGAGTTGGTGTTTCCCCATGTTGGCTGGGCTGGTTTTGAACACCTGACCTCAAGTGATCCCCCCAACCCCCCGCCGCCTCGGCCTCCCAAAGTGCAGGGATTACAGGAATGAGCCACTACGCCTGGCCTTTTGTTAATTTTCTTTTTATATTTGGAGACAGCTTCTCGCTCTGTTGCTCAGGCTGGAGTACAGTGACATGATCAAGCCAACTGCCTTACCTAACCTCCAAGTAGCTGGGACTACAGGCATCCACCACCCTGCCTGACTAATTTTGTTTATTTTTTGTAGAGATGAGGAGCTTTCACTGTGTTGCCCAGGCTGGCTGGAACTCCTGGACTCAAGTGATCCGCCCACCTTGGCCTCCCAAAGTGCTGGGGTTATATGCATGAGCCACCATGCCCAGGACCAATTCATAGAGGTATAGGCCGATGTGATCAGACCTTCTGAATTTTCAAGAAAATTTTAAAAATGAATATATATCAAATTATAAATGTTAGCAATTAACTTTAATAATGAACAAAATCTGTTCTGGTCAAATAAAAGTTGTCTGAGGGGGGTTGGCAATGGTCATGTGACCTTAGTCTGAGCTCTACGTGACTAAGAAAACCCTCATTTTATCATACAGCTTCCTAAGAAAACTAAGTTTGGGACAAGAATGCCATACACAAATTCATCACAAGAATGCTCCGATGGCCAGGACATTTGAGTTGGGAAGGACAAAGATTCTAAGGCATGGGTTCTCAAATCCACCACTCCAGGAGACATTTTTGGTTGACACAAGTGGAATGAAGATGGGAATGTGAGTGGCATCTCGTGGGGAGAGGCTGGGGTGCTGCTGAACAACCTACAATGCAGAGACCAGCCGTCGGAACAAATACATCCAACCAAAATGGTGATAGTGCTGAGGTTGAGAAGCCCTCCTCCAAGGCAATGATTTGTCTTCAGAATGTGGTCCTCAGTCCAAAGATTAATGCAGATCCTTGATATCCAACCCAGTCTACTGAATGATATACTATGTGGGTAACACTAGATATGTGCCTTTTAGAAATCTTCCCAGGTAATGTAAATGCATGCCGAAATTTGAGAGCCATTGAACTGAAACATCAGAATCGAGAGAATTCATATATCTAGAAAACATCCATTGTGTGTTTAGCAAAGATGCATGTTCAATGATAACAGAGAGAACTTTTACTTTTAAGCTGCAAAATACTGCACAGCCAAAGCAGTGGTATCAGAATAGTCCGCCTACAGTCACAGCCTGTTCCAAAAAGATAGGGGGAGTTAGAAAGAAGAAAAACTGTCATCACGTCGTTAGCCTCCGAGTACAGAAAGTAATGTCTTAGACTGCTGAAGGCATTTTTAGAAGTTTATCAATATGAAAAACAAAACAGCTAGGAAATTCACAATTTTAAAGGCAACCTATATTCCTCAATGTTGCAAATCCAGGCATTTGTAATTAACATAGATAAAATTAAAGAGAATAAACTGTAGATATTCTTACTACTACCTTCAGTACACCTCGTAGCAATTGGAAATTTAGTTTAAGCTATATAAAGTCACTGTAGTGCCAGTTTGTTATTTTTCATTAGCACCAAAAATATATATTTTAAAGAAAACATGGGCTGGAGCCCTCCCTGTTTTGCGGAGTGTATTAGAAGCTTCTTTTCTCCAGAATTGCTGTTACTCTTGTCTTTCTTTTTGCTGCATGAAGTCATCACCACGATGAGCAGCCATTACTGTCGGAAGTGTGTGCGACCCCTGGAAAGACCCAAGGGCATAGCGGCCCATCGTCCCTAGTGGCCATAAATGGAAAACTCACCCCAGAAGCATAAGCTTAGATAAGTGAGATTTTTCCCCATAGCAGATGCAATGAGAATTTATTTCCAGGCTGTAAACCCAGACAGAAGGTCTGAGAGATGTAGCTTCCTCGGTAGTAAAATCAGAGCCTTGTATGCTAGTGTACATTTTTTCTGACTTGGATCATAAAAGGCATCTGTGCAGGGCTGGCAAGGTCACAGAACTCCAGAAAGGCCTCCCTAACATAAAAGGGAGGCAACAGGGAGCCTTTCCAGGCTTCCATGAACTTATCTTGTTTACATCCTTTGTACTGTTTTTTTTTTTTTTTTTTTTTTTTTTTCACTGCTTTAGGAGAAAGCCAAAGTAAAATCAGTTACGTCTAGGACACATTGTCATGATTGCCTGTGGCCTCACTCAGAGTGGGGAAAAGTTTGAGAAATACTGCTTAACCTGGATGCTGGGGTCACAGGGGCATCACTCTCAGAAGCAGCTCCATTCCCACATGTCTCCAGGGGACCTAGAGCAATCAAAGGCCTCAGGACAGAAGTGACAATGCTCAGGGTCTCTCCCTCCCATCCCCTCCCAGCATCACCCTTAATGACGTCCGTGCCCTCGATAATCACAAAGGGTCAGCCAGCCCTGTGTTAGTCCTTGGGAGTAGCGTATCCCTCATATCTTTCAAGGCTCTCTGCCTCCCTCCCTAAAGATAGACATTAAGGACTCACTCTGCCCAGCTATTTCAAATAAAGGAAGCTGATACGATAAAACTCACTAATATGTAAAGAAGGTATTGTGTTCCTTCCTTCCAGAAAGTATTTACATTTTAGAAGGTGTTAAGAAAGGTAATACTCAGTCCAAAGCAATTAATCTCTAAAGGTTAATTTTTAGGTATTTTTTTTTCTTACAAGTGAAGCAGATCTTACACCCCTCCAATCATCTTGTGTAGTCAGGATCAGAACATAGAGGGAGGGGAGGGGAGGCTTATCAGACTTTGTAAATGCAAGTCAGCTGCTGAGTGACCAGTTCTTCATCTTTCAAATCCATCACGAAATGGGGATGTCCTTGCCCTAACTTCTGTTAGAAAACAGAAAAGTTGGATAGCATTCTACCTGGAGCCTGTGGCATAAATTCCATTATCTTCAATAACAACAATGGCAAATTCCCAAAGAGAGTACACGCTGAACTGAAAAAGCACTCAGCCATTTTCCATCGCCTTTGCAGGGAATGAGGGGAAGTAGGAGCGATTCTCAGCCTCTTGCTGAATCAACTGGCTCATCAGTAAAGCTGAACTGCTCCTACGTAGATATCACAGATATCGGTGTTCTCATTAACTAATTGTACCTCTACCAATGATAACGATGGTTTTAATGCAGACTGTTACATAAGGAAGAGGGTTTTTTGGGGTTTTTTTTTTGTTATAATAAATATCAAGTCACAGGTCTGAGAAATGTAGCAGAGATCTTTACAAAATCACACAGAGAAAGGACATCCGTGGGAAAAAGCTGTCATTCAGAGTGGAACCGTGGCTGAAATGGTTGAGCCGAGGTTCAGCCTCTCCTGCCCTACGTGCCATTTCCTGCCCGTCAGCTCGCATAGTTCCAGCCAAGACAGGGAAAGGTAGGTCGAACATCCTTTAACCGTTGTAGAGGCTCAACAGAGAAGAATCTGGGGTGGCTAGGAGTAGTGAGTCAATGATAAATTTTAATCTTGAGCCCGATGACTCATAAGAAATTTTAGCCATGTGACATGGTTTGAATCTGTGTCCCCATCCAAATCTCATGTTGAATTGTAATCTCCAGTGTTGGAAGTGAGGCCTGGTGGGAGGTGATTGGATCGTGGGCACAGATTTCTCATGAATGGTTTAGCGCCATCCCCTGGGTACTGCCCTCTCTACAGTGAGTGAGTTCTCCTGAGATCTGGTCATTTAAAAGTGTGTAGCACCTCCTCCCTCACACTCTGCTTTAGCCTTGTGACATACCTGCTCCCCCTGCGCCTCCTGCCATGACTGTAAGCTTCCAGAGGCCTCCCCAAAACACAATCAGAAGTTAGCACCATGTTTCCTATAAAGCCTGCAGAATCATAAGCCAATTAAACCTCTTTTCTTCCTCAATCACCCAGCCTCAGGTATTTCTTTATGCAGCGCAAGAACAGCCTAGTACACCATGAGATATAGAATGGGTGCTACACCTGCCGTTAAGGAAACAGGTATAGTAAAAAGGATGACTTTAGAAATAAAGAAATGTAGCATTTGTGTCCCAGCTCTATCACTAATTTGCCACTCTCTGAAAAGTAAGCTGTATGTGGGCAGGGATTTTTTTTGTTTCTTTCTTTTATTCACTGCTATACACCTCGAACCTGGAATAATGTGTGGCACATAATAGACATTCAGTACATGTTTGCCAAATGAATACATGAATGATTGTAGTCCTGGACAAGTCAAATGGCCCTTAGGCCCAAAGAACTATTTGTTCATTGATTCTTTTCCCACCTGCGTCACAGCATGGCTGCTGTCTTGGAAAAAGCAAACTGCTCATGAGTGGCAGGTGTGAAGAGGAGAGGCTGACAGTGAAAGGTGATGAGGCACGGGAGGAAAGGTGTAAGGGCCGAGGTGTGGACGGGGAAGTTGGGTAGCAGGTGGGCTAGGCAGAAGGTGAGAGGTGTGGAAGCTAACTATCATCAGAGATATTCAGAAGCTGGAAGAAAAAGGAGGGTTGTAAGGACAACAGCAGCAGCAGCTGTCCAGTGGGAGTTTGTTTAAACAGAATAGAAAAATTATTTAAGCCACACTATTTTCTTCTGGCTTCAGACAAGGGGGTAATGAGAGTGAGCTGTCAGCTGCAAATGAAACCACTGAAGGAGCAAGAGTGCAAAAGGAATTTGAAGAATTAAGGCAGACTGTCGGAAAAAAAAAAAAGGTAAGCTGATACTGGACTAGTCATTTTGCCTTCCATTAGAAAGAAGAAAAGA